TAAATACACATAAAAAATTTCGTGTTTTGATGAGGAATGTAAGTACTGTGGCCTGCGACAATTTGTAGCCAAATATGTTTTATTTTAATATCTACCTCATTTTCATCCATATTAGCACGACCTAAACTTTGCAAAGTAAATGAAATTCAATGACTTTGGATGAATAATTTCATAGAGATCCAGTCGAGTATCACGAATACGAAGTAACTACTGAAGAGTCCCGCAGCTCAGCGTGTATTAACGAAAATTTCGTCAACGTGATAATGTCGACTGAAAAGAGTTTCGAAGAAAGCAAAATGGACCACAGAAGCTTGGGCATTTCCAACTTAGACGCAGAGCTCGAATTTTTCCATAATACTGTCGACTGGAATATTTTTCCACACTTCGCTGGCCGATCATCAGTCGAAGTTTGCTCCACTGCGTGCAATGTTTGCTGTTTTGTCGACAATGTTTGCTGGTGTCAGAGTGCACTGCGTTCGCGTTTATCCTAAATTGAAAAGCGTTAACAAGTCCTAGAGGATAGCCAACTGAAAAATGTGAGAAAACTATGGACACATTATCGGTTCTTGGAGCACTCGTCCGAAAAAATCAATGACGGGATATTGACCAAAATCGGCATCATCGAGCAAGCTATTGCCAATTCGTACCGACTTTACGACGATCAAATTTTCGGAATGCGACGGCGGCTGGAACAACTTGAGGTCATGAACGAGTTGCTCAATGAACGAATCAAGATCAGTGATATGCTCAGTCACATTAGGGACAACGCTACAGCAAGCCAAAAAACTTGTGGCTCATAGAAATCCTCTAAAACTGAGTGGAACCGCCGGAGTTAGTTCAATATTTACAATTTTCTATGCCCGACGGGAGCGGATTACTGCAGGAAGCAAAGAGACCAAAGCGACAAATGCAAGGGACCTTTAAACATCACAAGTCTTAATTGCTTCACAAATGGCGTTTCATCAAACGAATACTCAGAAATAACGAAGGATAATAATGACCTGTAACATAGAAGTGCTACTGCGGACGATGCTTCATGGACGGAATTCCAGAGAGGCACATACATATGTGATTATTGCCTCATCGGAAATGAACAGTTGACCGCCACATTGCACCCAAAACCTGATGCTGACTCCGACAGCAGGTATCACCTGGGTCAGGATGTCTTGCAGAATTTGGACTCAATTCTGCAATCTACAATAGATATATCAAGGAACGTCCTAACTAAGCAGTCGGATGATAAATCTCAAGATATTGCTCAAGATATTGACAATGTAAGTAATCGTTTCCGATGTTGTTCATGGAGGTTTATTCCGCATAGGAAGCATGGGCTCAATGAGGTCATTTGGACGACCTCATCGTTGACTTCTAAAGAGAAGCTCGATGAAGATGACGACGAAGATGACGAAGATGATGACGAAGATGACGAAGATGATGACGCAGGTAGTGACGAAGATGACGACGAAGATGATGACGAAGATGACGACGAAGATGACGACGAAGATGACGACGAAGATGACGACGAAGATGACGACGAAGATGACGACGAAGATGACGACGAAGATGACGACGAAGATGACNTGATTGCGTTGAAACAACGTTCATAACGAGTTGATTGCGTTAAAACAACGTTCATAACGAGTTGATTGCGTTGAAACAACGTTCATAACGAGTTGATTGCGTTGAAACAACGTTCATAACGAGTTGATTTCGTGAAACAATGTTCAATTAACATTATTTAATAGTCAATTGCCTGGTGGGATAGCTAAGACTTGCCATCCTTATGTACGTAGGTGTAAAAGTAGAGTGACAACTACTGATCGAAAGGCAAACACGAGCGACCTCGTCAAGGATGTATCTTTGAACGTCAAGGGTTGCGGGAGTGTAAAAACTTGAAAAATTCATGATGGGAGACCGATGAAAGTTATGCCGTAGTCAGTTGCAGCTTATGTCTTAAAAATTAATTATGTATTATGTCTTAAGAATTGGCTTATAATTATTCAAAAGAAACCACGAAGTTGAATTTTTGTCAATCAAAGGATCTTAAATATTTAAACATCGGAGTTTAAGAGATGAAATTACTGTGTTCCCGTTTTGAAATAAGTTAAAATGTTTTGGCTTCGAACATATTTATGAAATTTTCTTATATATTCTTAAATAAAATCTGAATATGTACCTCAATGTTTCCATAATGTTGGACTTAATTAGTGCTTTTGTTTATGCTTTTGTCGTGGGAATAACTTTCACGCGCGGGAGCCCAACATTCGTGCTTGCTCGACTGAAACGCTAACGTGGGCGTGGTATTGTCGGTTCTTTCCTTCCTTCCCTTTCCTTCGGCAGTTCTTTCCTTCCTTAAATTCCGACTGTTGTTTAAGATGACGGGGAATTTTAATTAATAAACAACTCACTAATTAACATTGAAATTTTACAGTGAGAAATTTATTCACGTTGTAAGAATAATAATCTTACACTGATTTTTAGGCCTGACAGTAGATATTTTAGCTTTCTAGTTATTAGAATTATTTAATTCATATTGACCGTATAAATAAGAACTTCACTCGTTCAACAAATTAGCATTATTTATTTTAATTCCCACTCTACAAATTTGTGAGTTTCTTTACTTTGAAAATTTTTACTTACACATTGTAAGTAAAATATATCTTATTTTACATTGTTCGATATATCTTATTTCAAATAAATTTATCAGCTTTTTATTTATTACTTCTTTTATTTGATTTATTTTTTATTAATTTGTTAGTTTTAACTCAAAGAACATATAATATGGCTGTAATATAAGCCATTAAAAACACTAACCAATTTTTTATGCTCTTTGCGACCTATCCAACATATTACATCCAATGTTTTTCCTTGCTCACTTGCGAAGGTTGTTAGAGGTTCCGTCAACTAAAATGATTCCGAAATACTTATTTTTTTATTTCTGTTTAAGTCTTAATGCGCTTTTGATAATGAATGCCCAGATGAGCTCGACGGACACTAAATTCTAAAAGTTTTACTGAACCTGTTATATGTATATATACGGAACCTGTTATATAGCGGTTGCCTCATCGCTGTTTTTGTAATATTTTCAGGAGTTTAACGACTTGCGATTTCGCTCTTGATGTTGTTATTAGGGTTACAGAGCCCTGAGTGATAATTACGAGCCTAAGTAATTACGAGCTTAAGTAAGTGATAAGAGCCTAAGTAATTACTATCGCGCTAAGGTCATGCGACAGTAATTTCCGCATACAAGAGAATAGTCAACCCCGATAGGGTTGAAATCTTTATTTCTTTGGTAACTGCAATGTTGTGAGCTGAGCTTGGTAAACATCGCCGATGTTATTAGAATTAATTGTTCGGTACTGGAGCGCACAATTCGCTGCGATTCATAACCTATCACTTCGATACTACGGGATTTGATTGACGGATGTCAAGAAAAGGCATGATCAACGGCTGTGGCATGCTGGTGAAGCAACAAGTGTGGCTCAAATCACAAATCAGTGAAACAAACTTCGTTTCGTCGTCAACACTTTTACCGGACGTCTGTTCTTGTCTGTCTTTATTCCTATATTTCTTCGACACAGGCTAACTAGTGTCCAACTTTTCCCCAATATACGACACACAAGTGGACAACTTTCTTGGGAAAAACAAGGGAGCAGGCGAAGATGGATCTGCTTTCGCTGGGTGTCACCCTTTGCCAAATTACAATTCTCGTTACCAAGTGCCCATGTGTGAACAAGTGGACACTGGGCAGCTACAGCTGAATAATTCGCTCATTTCAGCGTCTGAATTCGTCTCATTTCAACCGCTGAATCGTCACCTTTTAGCCGCTGAATTCGTCTCATTTCAGCCGCTGAAGTCATCTAATGCCAGCCTCTAAATTTGTTGTATTTGTCTCATGTCAGCCTCTGCACTCATGTACTGTGTTCATCTCATGCCAGCCTCTGAACTCGCTGTGTTCGTTTTATGCCAGCCTCTGAACTTGCTGTGCTCGTTTCAAGCTAGCCGCTAAATTCTTCAAGATTTCAATGTTTTCACTCATCGTATTTTATATTTGCTTGATACAATACTGTATAGCTCCCTCATTGTAAAATTTGAATTTTAGTACCACTCTTCAATTTTCTTGGTACCACTTGACTGAAATTTTTAGTAATATGGATGATAAAGTGGCCTCGTACAAGACCGTTGTAAACAAGGGCACAGTTTCACCCATAGAAATTTGTCGATAAACATTTGCAATATTGCACCCATGAAGTACAAAGAGCCGAGCGCTGTGTTTGGAGTTTTTGTTGATTCATGCGTAATCTTATTTGTTCACTAAAAAGGAGAAAGGGAATTGGAGAGACAACAAAAGAGTTACCAACATTTTTTATGTTCTTATGTGAATGTCTTATTTTGTTTCTGAGCGCCAAACCCGTCTGTCTCTGCTATATTTTTGGCTGGTTTCCCGGTTTATTTGTAAGTCCGCGATTTTTTAAACCGGATCTTATTTGGTTATATTGTTGATTGAAATCCGGCTGTTGTTGTGGCTCTTGTACACTTATTCACTTAATTTTTTTTATGTAATATTGATTAAATATTTTTAACGACCCGCGAATTTAATAATTAAAATTTATTATTTGTCTTGAATGACATTTAAACGTCTTCGAGTTTGCAAAAAAAAAAAAGTTTTAGGATCATTTCATCTTTCCTGAAGGTTCAAGTTACATTCTTCAATAGTGTACAAACTTCCCTCCTGAAAATCATTCAGGAACATTCATTTGGTTTACTCAAAATTGAACTATTCTCGCCATAGAAGTCTGGATGCGGATGTTTTGCTCAAATAAAGGTCGCCAAACGATAAATTCATCCTCGCATATCATATAAAATTTCTTGAAAATTCATCCATCCTTTTATTCATATTTATTATTATAACCAACTTTAAAAAATTAAATCCAGGCCAGCTGGATCCTGTACAAACTAAGTAAGCAACAATAACTAACATTCACATTCGTTCCGACCAGATCTGTCTCCGGAAGCTCGACCCTCTCCCCTGAGTGGACTGAACAGCGTGGGCACCGGCATAGGAACAGACCACGGAGACCTGGGCGTCATCGGGGGCTCGTATTCTCAAGTGTGGACGGGCAACCGCCACCACCACCGACCTCCTCACCTCATGGACGCTCCTGACGAAGTGACAGCCACCATCGGCGGCAACGCATTCCTGCCTTGCGCCGTGCAGCACCTCGGCGACCGAACGGTCGGTTCACTGAGAAAAAATATAATTCAGTACTCACTGCAGTGAGTGACAGAGAGCGCATTTTCTCGCCGACGAAAACTTGAGGTCACGGACGGACGGACGGATGGACAGACAGACAGATGGACATGGCGAGCACATTAGTGCATTTTTTTCCATAAATGAGAAAATGCACTAAAAAGAATGGGGAATATTGTTCAAGTATTGACGCACTTTCTTGCCTACAGTACAAACAGAGAGTTGATGTAGCAATGATATGACCTTTTGCCTGGCCAAAGTGGATCAGGATGACTCATACATCGCATAAAGTGCATTGTTATTTGGAGAAAGCCATCATCTTTTTTCTGTGATTTGGGATTTAATTTAATTTAATTGAAATTCATTATTTAGTTCATAATTTTTGTGTGAAATTTGTAGTGAAATAATAGGAATCAAGAACCGTCAGCTGTTTTTAAAAACAATACAAAATATTTGATTGAAATACATTTTTCATGTGTGATATTCTGATGATAAATGATAATACTAGAAGTCAATCGATCTAAAAAATATGAATGAAATTTCTAATTAGACTTGTTTTATATGCCAAAATTATTCCTTACATAAGTAAATAATGTTTCTATACTTCCACACATGATAAAATATTAAAAAATAGTAACGAAATTGCTACGTCTTTTTTCATAAAAGATTGCTTGATCAATTTTTATCGCACTCACTAAAAATTTTGAAAAACTCAGCTTTCACTTTCCTTCATCAATTACGTACTAATAATTCCTCTTTGATTTATTGTTCCCTTATAATTACTTCAATTGCAGGTTACTTGGATGAGACAGCAAGATTTGCACATTCTCACTGCCGGTCCTCTAACGTTCTCTGCCGATGAAAGGTTTAGAGTGAGTAATTTATTATAATTATTTTAGTTTTAATTATAAATTCTACAAATATTTGGTTTCATTATATTATATTGTTAGGCTTTGGTTGTTATTTTTGTTTTAATGAAACAACCTCAAAGTTGAAATTTGATTAAGATCTCATTTTCAGTCTTTATACCAATAATTCGGTATTTCGTATATACTCATTCGTAAAACGACATTATTTGACATGATTTTTCAATAAACAAAGTAAAGGTATATTTTCTATTTAAAATTAATCTATACGACGTTTTGGAAGGTATGCATGCGTATTTGGATCATCAAATAAAATATTGCAGCAGTTAACAAGCTGTTGCGCAGTCAGCGGCTAGTAGTAATATATTATTTCAAATAAAAATTATTTGGCAACACTTCCCATAAAAAACATTTTTTAACAGGAAATCAGGTATCTTTTATCATTTTTTCCAATCGTTTACGTATCTGGGTCAACCAATGAAACATTGCAACAGTTTACTAGCTAGTGCGCAATCCGCAGCTATTCATAAAATAGTATTTCAAAACAAAGTATTATTGGAAACATTTCCAAAAAAAATGTTTTTTAACAGCAAAGCAGGTATCTTTAATGAATTTTTATGATCGTTAACGTATCTGGGTCAGCCAGTAAAACATTGCAACAGTTTACCAGCTAGTGCGCAATCAGCGGCTATTCAACACAGCACCGGCGCTTTATAGCCCAGACTTGCTATTTCGCAACTGCCATTAATTGGTCCAGTATTTCGTCAGTGGCCTAATTGCTCGGCGTCAGCTGACCCACTGAGGCTACTTTTAAGTGAACATTTAATTAATTAGACATCTGCTATTTTTAGCGCATTTTCTCATTTATAGAAAAACTGCACTATTGTTAATGTTTTTCGGGGCTTTTTCGGGGGAAGTTTGGCTACTCTTTTATGTGTTGCGAAGCAGTTTAGCAGCGTAAATTTTTACGATAAGTTTAGACGTTAACTGCTCAGCTTAATGAAATTTTAGTTTATTAAATAATATAATAATTAAGGCTTTAAAACAGAGCCACAAGCAACATAAACAAATTTTTTCTCACCGACAATTTTTCCAGTTTAACCCTAAATTCAATATTTTACTGCAAAGCGAGAACATTCATCTTTCGTACAAAAGTTTTAGGGATAGATCTATTACACACAGTTTTAAGAATTTCCACATAGTAACTGTAGCAGGATATCCTGCATCAGTGTATCAGCCTGTATCACGTGTGAAATGGATTTGTGATACTCCGTCACAACAAGTCGCTTTCATCGCTGCTTTTACAGGCTGATATGGCCTCCTCTTTCAACGCTTGCTTGTAGGATGGATGCTGTTCGCTCCCTGGAGCACAACTACTGCAAATATTACACGAGCTAAAGAAAATATGAAGGCCTATGTCATTGCAATATTATTTATATAAAATATAATTTTACCGTAATAAGTATTGCAGATGAATTTCCTTTTTAATGTTTATAAGGTAAAGAAACCTATGATGAATGATTGGTAGGGATAATATTATGAATAATATTTTATGTAATTATATTTTTTATGTATTTTACAAAATGAATGCCAATATTCCCATTAATGACGCATAACATTCACTCTCGATAATTGTTACCACATGCAATCGCATTTTTTCATTAAGGATTATTCTATCTTGACGTGGTTTGGTTATTCATTAATGATCATCATAATATTATACCATGACCAATTACAATTGTAAGCGTGCAATTTTACATACCTGTAATAGAACACTCAAGTTTTTTCCCGGTAACATATGCCGCAAATTCAAATAAGCCTAAATCCTGCTGTTCATTTGCACGAGTAATGCATTAATAATTATCAATCTTACCTAAATACTTTTAGTTATTTAGGACAGCCTTCACCGCAAATCCAAACCAATAATAATAATAATAATAATAATAATACCTCTCAAAAGTTTCGGTCATTTGCTCAGCTTACATCACAAATCAAACCACTGTTTGCAATGTCTCGTGTAATCATCAAGTTGTTTGCCGCTGATTGACATTCTCGACCCAATTTTGTTATCAGGTTAGGGGCTTCCATAATGTCGTTGCAATGAAACCTTTTCTTATGCCTCTTCCGCTCTTCCTAACTTTCCTGACAAGATGAGTTTTCGACAACATTTTTTAATGTCTTTCATCGCCGGCAATGAAAATTACAAAAAATACCGTCTCTATTTTGAAGAGATTATACATGACGTCAGAAAATTAAAATATTCAATTTACTTACATCGAAAGATTTCTCGTGGTTTAAAATTTTTTCTCTATTGATTATTATTCCTACTGTCGCAACTCATAGATGCTGCACCTAAGTCGCCGCTCGTCTATAAAAACTTTCAATGCTGGTCATAATTACGATTTGCAAGGTTAGATCAACACATAATAACTCGAAGCTGCTTCGATCTCACTAAAACGTCATGCTTGAGACTTATTCAAAAAGTAAATCGTTTCTATTGAAGGCCAGGGACATTAGTGTTGAGGAGACTGAAGGGGAATTGATGTTAGTTAACTGACTTTAATATATTAAAGGACACGTTTGTTTGCAGCCAATCGTGCTTGATTTAGTTTGTTCCATGATATTTAATAAATACCCGAAAAAACGTTTACTCACGACTTCAATTCCCTTTTATTGTTGTTTTGTGTATATTATTGGGGACTAAAAGGAATTGGCTTAACGATAACATTCAATTCCAAGCGCCCTGACCCGATCGTATAGCGTGCGCAAGTTCTGCGATAAATGCCATAATAATCGTACCCGTGGTACAGCTGACTGTTTATTGGTATATATTGGTCTCTTGTTGAGAGCGCATAATACTGAATAAAAGATACTCTGGTGGTTCTCATAGCAATCATTGCTTTACAGTAAGCACTACTCAATCTTGTTATTGAATTTTCTCTCTGCCGTTTCGTTCGGGTTTGGATAAATGTATGCAATGTTAGAACTTTAATGCTAATAATACCTTTCAAGCCAAATTTCTTTTAAATTATTTGTGAACAATTATAAATTGATGAGACTGTTGAATGTAACTTATAATTTAATTGAAACTTTATTTATTTAATAATATTAGGTGAAGCGCCCTGGGTAATTTACCACTTCACAATTTACGTCTTCAAAGCCCAGGATATTGCGTTAATTTTCATGCTGTTTAATATTACAGGTACTGCACCCCGAGGACTCAGACGACTGGACGCTGCACATTAAAATGGTCACCCCTAAAGACGCGGGGCTCTACGAGTGCCAGGTCAACTCAGACCCGAAAATTTCCAGAGAAGTCACCCTCACAGTCAAAGGTAACTTGAATGCGTTATACGTATTATTATTTATTATTTATTATTACGCGTTATTTCCAGAGAAGTCACGCTCACAGTCAAAGGTAACTGAAATGCATTACATATTGTTTATTATATAATATTTATTAATACGTATTATTTCCAGAGAAGTCACCCTTACAGTCAAAGGTAATTTAAATGCATTGAATATTATTTATTATATAATATTTATTATTACGTATTACTTATAGAGAATCATCCTCCCAATCAAAGGTAACTTAAATGAATCACATATTATTCCAGTGACTCTATATGAATAATTATCTTGTCAGAGCGCAATATGGATAGTTTTCCATTTAGAAAGTCTCACAATAATAGTCCGAATAATATAAACATTTCGTTTATATAAATGAAGAATCGGTCCTATTTTTAAATTCTGATTCATTAACACCCTCTTATGTCTCAATGAGGATGATAGCGTGACTATTACTTATGGAATTCATAAGGTTCTAAATTGGGTTCAACCGTATTCAAACTTATTTGGAACAATCTTTTTGTACGGGCGTTGTGATATTTTTTAGTTTTAATAAATCCATTTTTTGTTCGCTGTAATTATTAGTGTCTTGAATTCTTTAGAATGTTAGAAAATGAACAGTTAGTCATTACTTTAGAATTTCCATCTTAAGTTAGTAAAAAAGAAGAGAAGTTGTTACAAAGATTTCACACTCATATTCAAATAAATTCAACAAGATTTCTTAATTATTTCTCCCGTAAATTCGGTTCATATTAGTGTTTTCCTGTTATATTCTGCAGAACACAGCCAGCTCGACGACCCTGGAACATTTCTGCAGACAACAGACGCTCGTGAGTATTGACATTTCCTCTGTTATTTACTCAGTTTGTAGTCAGTAGTACTGATTTATTTATACATTTTAAGAGTATTTATTGCATAGAACTATTCATCTCACAGCAAGTAGTAAGAACATTCATTATGAGGCAGCCCGATGTTTCATGAATAAGAAACAATGATTTTTAAAAATTTGTATTCATGTTCTTACAAAAATTAGTGAACCATAGACAAACAGAAGTAGAAAATTCGCACTCAAAAGAAAAATTTAATGCAGTACGTATATGAAAGTCACCCGTGCCAAAAATCCTTTTACGTTGTTTCGTACATTGGAAAAATTGTACAATGTTTTTTCCGTAGCGTTCATGATGCACAACTGCGGTGAATCTTCATCAGTAGTGATGAAAAATAAGAAAACGTTTGATAATGATTCATTTGCGTTGAGTCCAAATTTCCGCTATTTTCAAGCACTTCACAACAGCAAGTGTATTCAGTTTATAAGCAAGTTTATTCAGTTTATATTACTTCAACAGATCGTTGTTTGGTTTCGTAGCACACATGTCTTTCCTTTGAAAACATTTGACTCTGTCTGACTATTTTGTAAGCTTGATAATATTCTTCACTTTTTGTAATTTAATAAGGTGTTTTTATTTTGGTTGACCTTTTTAGAAGTCTAAGGCAACGTGAAAATCTTATTACTCAAAGTTACTTCTAAATCGCAAGGCCACATCGAGTTTGCGTCAAAAAAATGTGTCAAAAGAGCACAGGCTATGCAATGCATCGTCCAGCAGTTTTCACTGCATTACGATAATGACCAGGGGCTGTACTATTAATTGTCCTATCAATAATATTTGCTAGTTAGTAACTCCGTTAGACGGAGCTCAGCATAAATGACTGAATCTTCAGCATTTGTTATATATTTCATACGACTCCTGTGATCGCAATGATCATTGATAGTAATCCTGTTACAACTCACTGAATATTTTTACAACGTTTAATAACTTGAATGCCCCATTGGTTGCCATACGGTCAGTGCAATAATTAACCATCGATTGAATGAAACGTCAACGCTGCGCAATTTGACGTACAGTACTTCGCAATCCCTTTGAACTTCACACAGAATTTATAACCTCAGTGCCTTTCAGAGTTTGTTCAATCATTTATTCCCCGTTGCAAAGAAACCAATGTATTACTCATACCCTCAAGTGAAGGCCTCATGAGTCGCAATAGATTGTACGTTACAAACACCACGCAACGTGCCCATAGGAGCAATAATTTTCTCTTGTTTTGAATGGCAGCGCGAGTTGTGAGTTGTGGGCATGTTCTCGCCGATAGCAACCGCTCCCGTCGGACTACTTCTTATGCGTATTCAGTCACAGACGAGAATTTCTTTGTTTTTAGCGCATTTTCTCATTTATTATAAAGGCACTATTGTGCTCGCCATGTCCGTCTGTCCATCCGTCTGTCCGTCTGTCCGTCTGACAAAAACTCTATTAGTTTTCCTTGTACCCCGTAAATCTGAAAGAACAAGTCCACCGGAGCAATACTTTGGCTGTGAGTCGTACACGATCTATATTTATCGTTGGCCCGTATCGTGCGGTATGCTCACTAGTCACCTAAAGCGATCACACGATCCTCTAGAGAAATGCTGCGTGCTGCCTTGTTTGTTTTGAGTGCTAGGCTCGATACGCAGCATTTACCGCAGCTTACCTATACGTCTGCTTTATCCAACTCCACACTCAGGAAGTTTAGTGGGTAATGTTTTCCAAATAGTGACTCACTTCCTTGCCCACATTACAAGCAATGAGTGGACGTAGCACCAATACGCCCTTTTGCAAGGCGTATTAGTGCAATTTTTATCCACAAAAGAGCAAAAAGTGCATCTCTATTTAAAAAAAGTCTCACTCATGTCTGAGAGTATAAGGCACTTGGTTGGGCTATGGCCGGCCGATCCACGGCCAGGAAGTGGCCGCTGATAAGCGCGGCTAAAATTTTTGTCACATTTTAACCTAGCTGAGTAGAATCCAACTCACACGCGATATAAATTAACTCGAATTACATCGAATAACTAACAGTAAAAATTGTTGACTGCAATCAATCATAATTGCTGACGGCAATCAATGATAATTGTTGACGGCGATCAATGATATTTGCCTACTGATATCAATAATTATTACTTACGGGAGTAAATGCCGATTGTTTATAGCAATCAAGGCTGGTTGTTTATGACAATCAATGATGATTATTTTGGTTGAATGTCATGCTTACGAGTTATTCACTTGTTGAATACACTAATTAACTCGTATCGCCCAGCTCACTATATCTGCTTTTCAGGTTTCTATAAATCCTCGATAATCAGTATGAGGTGTGATAAATCGCTGCTTAGCTTTTATAATCAATAGCCAAGAAGCAGGTGAGTACGCCCTCTTTAATGCACTGAAAATGAAGCTGTACGTTGTTCATTGATGATAAATCGTAATATTTTCGTCGTTCATCACAGAATTTATATCCCGTTATCTATTGCTGCATCGATGAAACGGAGAGGGAACGGACTGGTCTCGATGTTCACCAAATCGATTCTGCTTTGATGTCGAAGCGCCTTCAGTGTAATGGTCGAGATCTAGACCTCGTTAGAGATGTTCATGAGAATTGTTTACTGCTTTCGTATATTCAAATCCCTTTCCTTTGAATTTGTTTGTAATATAATGGCTCTTTGTGCATAATTAATTGATGCTCCATTAGCTAATTAAGTTGGGATTTTAATAAAATAAAAAATAAATATATTGGAATAAAATAAAAAAATCCCAACAAATAGTTGGGATTTTTAAAGGTGCAGGTCAAATGTTGGTTCAAGTCCAAGAGATGACCTCATGGTGCTTGTTCGAACCTATAGAGCTTTTATTCGCTAGTGTGAAACGTTTATGCATTGACTTTTTTGGCAATCGTTAAATTTTGATGGAACATATATGACATTCTTTACTATTATATAATATAATACTTTACTAAATATAATTATCTTATAATTATATTTAAATAATATGCCGCTGCAGACTTCACAAATAAAATTATTTTGAGTATGCGCTAGTTTAAGAAATTTTTTGCTGCTTTGATTCTGGATAGAGTAATTAAAAATGACCATGGGTCAACAGGAATGGGCGACTGTACCTCATAAATTATAATTATTATTCTTAACAGTTTCCGATGCCGACGCAAGATTGCTCGGTCATCACTAATGTATAATATAATTCAAGTTAAGCGTTAACGATCCTTCCACAGGATTGTCGGACTATTGTGATATTTGATAATTATTGAAGTTAACAGCTTCCGATGTCCCATACAGGATTGCCCGACTATAACAATACTTGTATGTAATTATTATAAAATTCAACAGCTTCCAATGTCCCATACAGGATTGCCTGACTATCACAATACTTGTATATAATTATTATTCAAGTTAACCGCTTCCGATGTCCCATACAGGATTGCCCGACTATCACAATACTTGTATGTAATTATTATTATATTTAACCACTTCCGATGTCCCATACAGGATTGCCCGACTATCAGATTCTGCCTGACTACGACTCAGACTATTCGAACAGGAGCGGCAGGAAGCAAGCTAAGGGTAGGAGGCGAGATAGGAAATGCAGGAAGAGAACGAAGAGCAGGAGGTCATCGGGTAGGAAATAAATCTTTGGTCTCTTTAATAATTCTTATTGTAATTCTTTTGAATGAAGGCTTGCGCTGGAATACAGGCTTGGGTGTGTCGTTGCCTCGGTGTTTGCTTTCTTATAAATTAGAAATTCTTTCATGTTTTCAGGACAAAATGATCCTGAATTAAATTTCAAAATTTTGCATGATGAAAATCTATTAATATTATATGACTCCAATATTATACAATATCTATTAAATATTTGTAGCCTAATTTGATAAAATTATAGTTTGACTCACTTGCTTTGAAATTACACTGGGATCAAAAATAATAAATGAATTTATTAATATGTTTAGGTGCAATGAATATATGTAGTTTGGGTGGAGAAAAATTCTCGTTTTCAAGACATATCGCGACGAGAAATATTTTTATAATCAAGAAATTTTAATTCAGAACATCAGATATACACATGGGGTTTTTGCATATTCTAAATTAAATAAAAGATAGTAAAAATGCTATAATTAGAGTGGGCTTCTTAAAAAAATTGATCGGTTCTACACCCCCAAGCTTTGTACCTCAGTAGCAAACAGAGAGAAAACTTTCCAAATTAATTTGAACACAATTATTAATTTACAATTTTCTCGTTGGTTTCGAACACGAGTTTCAACTTGCTGCCTCGTCTGTAATATTTTCTTGACCTTATTCGGACGTAATTGATTATTCGGCCTGGAAAGAAATTTATTGTACTGCATTTCTCTCTGAGTTTGAGCCTCGGCTTGTTGTTGTTCGCCTTCGTTATTTGTTTCGTAATCATTCCTTTGTTGCTCGAATTGTCACGTTTACGTTGGAAGTTGCCCGCCGTTTATAACACGTGTATGGTATTCGTGCCTGAACCTACATTGATTAATTTATTTCCACTAATAAACGAAATGTCAATAAGTTTTTATTTGCAAAACTTTTCATGAATTTTCATTCAAAAGAAGAGTCATGTTTGGAAAAATTCTCAGTGTGTGATAGATTTACTTACAAATCAAGTTACGTTACGTTTTGTTTGCCTTTGGTACAAACTAAATTATTGTTCCATTCTTCGAAGCAATTGTATATTCATAAATGTTTAACATTTTCTTTGATTTAACAAAACATCTTGCAATCAAATATGCTCATTTTATTTCAATTAATTAGTTTTTTATGGTAAATTTTTCTCTTTTCTAAACAATAATATAGACATAGTTTGTAATTACGCAGAGAAACACACTTTACCACCCATTGTACACGTTCAAACACAGAAACTTCATTAACTTTATTACCTCATCGATCTTCTGATAGACACCATAATTTTCAAATGACGATCATGCCGATCTCCTTTGTATTTTTGCGTCATTTGTTTCGGTGGTATCAGCACTTCGCTAATTACGCTCGTCAAGGGTTGTCTTCGTTAGCGTTGGGTGCTTCTATTGCATCAAGAATTTTTTCGGTTGTCTTTCATTCGTGATGTTGATTCCTTGGTTAATTTATTGGTCGATTGCAACCTCTGAATAGGGAAATTATTATTAATTATATAATTATTAAATAGATCGGAGATCATAATGAAAAAAGGGTTTGTGGAAAGTTAGGAGTGAATTGTTTGAATATGTTCGTCAAGGTGTTGTCTTTCGATTATCTGCTTTGTCTCACATGAGTTATATCCTGCAACTGCTTCTACTAACTTAACTATAATGATGTTTTCTTTTCTGTGTTGCAGCTGATTCTTTCCTCGACAGTTCCTTAATAATTGCAAAAATGCATACTGGTAGTTGTGTTCTAATTTCCTAACCCATTTCCAAGCTTCTACTACCAATAACACTAAATTACTATTCGCCCAAGGCCTTAAATTGCTGTGCGCTTCTACTAATAATATATTGTTATAAATATTATTAACATCTCCCCATTTTATAAGCTGATATGTGTTTTTACTGCCGAACTGAAGAATTCCTTAATTAATTTAGAGTCGGCGAAGATTGGTCTAAAATGCTCAAGATTTTTTCTAAAATGCTCAAGATTGTTTTTACGTAAAAAGTATTATTTATTACTTTGACGCGACGCCAACATAGACCTCGTGAATACGATTTTACTGTACAAAGAACCGAACAGAATTTTCCCTCCGGCACTTGAGATGTTACCTACTTTGAGAAATTGCTGTGTTGTTTTCATCCGATTTCTTAATCTTTCATAAAGGCTTTGCAATTTAAAATTGTCAGAACACTGGGCGTTAACTTGCCATTCTAACTTTCGGGCAATAGTTACCAGAAACAAAAAACGCATGCGTTGTCCATGCAAATAAGCCCTGCAGTATCCAATTTCATCTGAACCGACCATCAGGGTTAGGTTATCTTAGAAATTAACAACACTTGGCAGTGGCGTGAACACAACCTCAACCTGAGATCCGTATAGAAGAAGAAAAAGTACTTGAATTACACTAGAAATAACGATTGGTTATATTGTTCAAAAATTGACACGCTTTCCGTAAATAGCACTGATACACTCTTTTGCCTCAACACGTACTTTGTAGTGGCATGAGCAAAATCCTCAACCTGAGATCCTTATAGAAGAAGAAAAAGTACTTTAGTTACGCTCGAAATAACGACTGGTCATATTGTTCAAAAATTGACACGCTTTCGGTAAATAGCACTGATACACTCTTTTGCCGGTTAAGTTACACGCGAAATAACGACTGGTCATATTGTTCAAAAATCGACACGCTTTCTGTAAATAGCTCTGATACACTCTTTTGCCTGGCCGAACTGAGTCTGGATGACTCATAAAGAAGCAGAAAATGCATCACTTTTAAACAAAGTCTCCTCATTTCCCTGAAAGTGAACTTTTTGGCAGCCGATTCTTTCTGTGGAAACAACTCATATACGTCTGGGAAATAAGGAAATTAAAAATTAATCAAAATCGTCTCCAATTCGATGCAAACTCACAGCTGATTTATCGAAAAGAAAAGAGTGCTGCAGGAAGATAACAGTGCTCGAGATGGGCAACAAAAAAGTTGTTTTACTGGCGGAGATGTTTACAAATGTTAGAAAAAAATTAGTAATACTAAGCCATTCTGCAATTTGAATATGACGAACATAATTATTTAACTGATTACGCCGTATTATTTAATTGATTACGACTCATTTCAAAATAAATCTTATATGCGAGTTTCATTTAATATACTAAATGCGGAATCTCGCTTATTTGCCCTACTACCAATAAGTTTTGCAATATGTCTTCTTTCATTCAAGAAAAGAATTCAATTCGGCTTAAAATTATGTTTTCGCTCATAGTATTCATTTCATGTAGGGAATGACATGATTTTGCTAAGAAAAACTCATTCTATTCATAATACCATAAATTGTTCAACTTGACACAAGTCAAGTTTTACTATAAATAAGGCGTGCATGAGTGCTCAGGATGTTGCTAAGAGTTTCCTACCAATTAAGAAATTAGGTCTGAAACTCTTATCCGCGACGCCACCTCTTCGTGTGAGCCTGTACGATCACAGCTTAGGCCTAAAAGAGGCTCTAGGGATGCAAAGAACATTCATCTCACGTGCACCAGCGCCAAACTTCATAAAACAACAGCGCAGCTCTAGGCCTCTTCTACAGATGCTGCAACTCCACTCAAGGCCTTCACAAATTAGAGGCAAAATCCCGAGTAAGATTTGCCATCCTCAGCTCCCGGGGGCTGCAATGAGCTTGAGGAGAGACTGATTTTTTTTCAGCGTTTTGATGGTTGGTGTGATTGTAAATGTGAGCTGAAAAACATTGAAGGAGGTCTGGTGAAGAGGCTTCAATAGTGAAACGAAACCGGTTTTCACTTATTTTTGCCACCTAAGATTTGCCATCCTCGGCTCCCGGTGGCTGCAATGAGGAGAGACTGAACTGATTTTTTTTCAGCTTTGATGGTTGGTGATAGTGAATGTGCGGTGAAAAACATTGAATGAGGTCTGGTGAAGAGGCTTCAATAGTGAAACGAAACCCGTTTTCACTTATTTTTGCCACCTAAGATTTGCCATCCTCGGCTCCCGGTGGCTGCAATGAGGAGAGACTGAACTGATTTTTTTTTCAGCTTTGATGGTTGGTGATTGTAAACGTGCTCTGAGAAGCATTGAAGGAAGTCTGGTGAAGAGGCTTCAATAGTGAAACGAAACCCGTTTTCACTTATTTTTGCCACCTAAGATTTGCCATCCTCAGCTCTCGGTGGCTGCAATGAACTTGAGGAGAGACTGAACTGAGTTTTTCAGCTTTGATGGTTATGATTGTAAATGTGCGCTGAAAAACATTGAAGGAGGTATGGTGAAGAGGCTTCAATAGTGAAACGAAACCCGTTTTCACTTATTTTTGCCACCTAAGATTTGCCATCCTCAGCTCCCGGTGGCTGCAATTAATGAGCTTGAGGACAGACTGAACTGATTTTTTTTCAGCTTTGATAGTTGGAGATAGTAAATGTGCGCTAAAAAGCATTGAAGGAGGTCTGGTGAATTACGCTTCAATAGTGAAACTTCAATTACATTACATTACTTCAATTACATTATGAAACTTCAATTACATTACGCTTCAATAGTGAAACGAAACTCGTTTTCACTTATTTTTGCCACCTAAGATTTGCCATCCTCAGCTCCCGATGGCTGCAGTGAGCTTGAGGAGAGACTGAATTGATTTTTTTCAGCTTTGATGGTTGGTGATAGTGAATGTGCGGTGAAAAACATTGAATGAGGTCTGGTGAAGAGGCTTCAATAGTGAAACGAAACCCGTTTTCACTTATTTTTGCCACCTAAGATTTGCCATCCTCGGCTCCCGGTGGCTGCAATGAGGAGAGACTGAACTGATTTTTTTCAGCTTTGATGGTTGGTGATTGTAAATGTGCGCTGAAAAACATTGAAGGAGGTCTGGTGAAGACGCTTCGATAGTGAAACGAAACCTGTTTTCACTTATTAACTTTGCTACGGATCAGTGCGATGCAATTTTTAAAAACAAATGAGGGCTCAATATTAGAGAACCTGT